CAGATGTCTGGGGTCAGTGTTCCAGATGTCTGGGGTCAGTTTTCCAGATGTCTGGGGTAAGTGTTCCAGATGTCTGGGGTCAGTGTTCCAGATGTCTGGGGTCAGTTTTCCAGATGTCTGGGGTCAGTTTTCCAGATGTCTGGGGGCAGAGTGAGAAAAGGCTCTGTGTCCCATGGTGCTGAGGAGGACGAGAGGAAGAATGAAGGGAGCGTGAATGGGTGATCATGTGCAGGAGATAGGACAGATAGGGAGGGGGGAGGTTGTGGATGGCCTTGAATGTGTCCAGCAGGATTTTAAATTGAATTCTGAAAGTGACTGGAAACAGTGAAGTTGCTGTAAAACTGGGGTGATGTGGTGACATGAGGGGGTGTTGGTAACGATGAAACCAAAAACAGCTCTTATCGGTGAACGCAGGTACCTCTCTGAGCTCGAGTAGCACTAAAGGTACTTTATGAGATTCTGAACAAACATTATACCTTGTGTTTCAGACTAAATGTCAAATTTTGTGAGTTTTTTTAAACAATGCGTGATAAACCACGCCCACTTTATTCTGAATGAAAGGCGGTCTCTGGACATGTGGAGCTGGCAGTTCTATTTGGACACAGAGAGGTCGTCCAGTGTCGCTGTTATAGTTTAATCAAAATAATTTAAAAAAATCATCTGATTCTGAATTGCACATTTGGATTAATAAAAGGAAACAGTCTAATTTCTGACAGCTGTGTCTGAGTGATTAATTCAACTCAATTCAATTCAGTTTATTTATAAAGCACCAAATCACAACAAGTTGTCTCAGGGACTTTACAGGAACATTCACATAAAAGACAGTTAGTAAAGTTCTCTATCTGAGGAATCCAGCAGACAAGATGAATCTTGGCTTCGTTGCAGTCTCCCATCCTGAGCAAGCACAGTGGAGACAGTGGAAAGAAAAACTCCCTTTAACAGGAAGAAACCTCCAGCAGAACCAGCTCAGGACAAGAGACCATCTGCTTTGACCGGCTGGTTAGAGCAGTTGTCCACCATTCGGAGAGCTGGAGGTTTGATTCCACCAGCAGTCACTTGTTGAAGTGTCCGTGGGCAAAACACAGAACCCTCATTGCCTGTGATGTGTGTCCCATCGGTGTCTGAATGTGGTAAAGCTCTGATAAGTCAGTAGAGACCTAGTAGAGTGCTGTATGAACGTGGGTGTTATAAAGAGCTTTGAGTACCTTGATAAAGTAGAACTCATAAGTGGAGTCCATTAATTTATTACTCATGGAACATTAAGTGCTGAAGTCTGCAGTCTTCTGCCTGCTTCCTGTGTAAAAGTGAAAGTGTCCACTGGTTGGAGCTGTTACTTGATGTCACAGTGGAACACTAATCTGATTGGCTGAATGTTCAGAGTCCAGCTTCATTTATCAGCTCCTTGTCTCCTGTTTTATCAGTAACTCTATCATCAGAGACTTTCACATCACGTTCTCTGTTAGACCTGAACTTTCAGGTGTGTGTTATGTCCTTCAAGACCTTCATCTCCTACCTGACCCAGAGCATAGGTGGTGTAGTCAGTCTGTAGAACTGAGCCCCCTCTTCCTCCAGTCCCTCTGGTGTATCGGACGTAGCTGTCTTTGTCCACCGGTTTGGCCAGAGTCACTTCAATGGGAGAGCCGTCTACCACCTGCAGGGAGCACACACTGAGGCCTGGTAGCAGTACTTGATACAGCTTGGTACTGGTGTGCCAGATACATACACCATAAGTTAGAATCTGGTACCAGTACAAGGCTAGAAGATGTATTGCTACCACATTTGTGTTTGGCTGAGATGTTTCACAGAAGAAACAAATGACTTTGTTTAGATAAGTAGATTAAAGTAACAGAATAATTTAGGCAGAAGGAACATCATTTTATGAAATTTAATTTATTTTTCACAAGTTTCTGTTTTATGTTATGAGAAACTGTTTATGAATATGTCACAATTTAAAAAAAAAGAGAATATCTTTGTTTCCCATCGAGGAGAGCTGACTGACCTTCCCATTCAGAGCCTTCATAGCGTTGATGGCGTCTTCTCGCTGACTGAAATGGACGAAGGCATAATCTCTAATCTTCTTAACTCGCTCCACTGCTCCTGAGTCACAGAAATAGTCTTTGAAGTTATATTCACTTCCTGTTCCAGTTTTTTGAAGAAAACCAAACTTCAGAGGGCTGTTTTGTGCCTGGTTTAATGTTATTGTTTATCATGGTGCGTTTAATGACAGTCTGACCTCAGAGCGTTGTGTTGTACCTAGTTTGATGCTGTTGAATTCTTTCTCAATGGTTTCTTCTGTTGTCTGCAGCATCAGGTTCCTCACGTACAGAATCTTGACAGTTGCCATGGTATCCTCATCCACCTCCACCTCAGGCTCTGCCCAGTCTACAGCAATGGGATGGCCCCACAGCTGGATCCGACCTTAGACAAAGGTCATGTGAGTTAATATAAACAAATGTTCTAATGTGTTAGAACATTTCTTACTGAGGTGGGTTTACAGTAGTTTGTGATACAGGTCAGAGATATGGGGCACGTCTCTGTGAGCCCCATATGGATCCTGATGTAGTGTCAGGAACTGATTGGTACCTGGTGGAAGAATCAGCTTCATACCTGGTAGCAATTTGCGTCGGGCCATGGCAGCTGCTCGATGACTCTCGTATTCCACAAAGGCGAATCCTCGGTTCTTGGATTTGTCTGCTGCGCTGGGGTAAACAATGACATCCATGACTCCATCTGTGACCTTTCTCATCTCTGTTAGGATCTCCTCACGCTTCTTTGTTTTTGGAATGCCCCCCACAAACAGACGACAGTTATCGACACTGGCACAAACACCGAGGAGACGCCCATTCCTGTTGGACAGAAGAAAAGACAGGAGGACAGACAGAAGAGCAGGCAGGAGAACATCAGATAACTTTCAAATTAGAGACCTTGATGTGAAGGTTAATCAAAAGTTTTGCCAGGTGTGTTGAGCTCGTGTGGGTGGCTTATCAAAGGTTACCACAGATTTAGGTTAGTGGTTTGGGGGATTATTAGATTATTGCAGGGGGGACTCGCTGGCAAGCACATGCTCGTCGAACCTTGGATCCTGGGGCTCTGCCAGGCCATGCCCTAAGAAATAACAAGAAGCCACCTCCATATGTACACACCACCTGTAGGAGGCGTATCAAGGTTGGGTGCTGTGCATGTCAGGCAGCAGACAAGGGTGGGTCCCTGGCCTCTTCGATTCCTGGTGACACAGCTCTAGGGATGTGGAACATCACCTCACTGGCAGGTAAGGAGCCGCAGCTTGAGTGTGAGGTTGAACGATATCAATTAGATAGTTGGACTCATGTCTACGCACAGCTTGGGCTCTGGAACCCAACGCCTGGAGAGAGGCTGGACTCTCTCCTGCTCCGGTGTTGCCCAGGGAGAGAGGCGTTGTTGGGTTTTTATTATCAATTAAAAAATAAATGACACTGAAACTCTGTCTGACAGCACAGATGAGGGTTTATTAGAGCATAACAATAGTGATCAGCCAAATGGCAACAAACTCCAAAAAAAAATCTGTATAGATTTACTGACACTTTATATTTATCTTGTGCAGCAAAAAATAGTTTATCTCACTTGTTCACTTGTCACTCAAAAGAGAGAACACTCTGGGTACGCCTAACCAGGACCCAAGGCCCCAGTCCAGACAACATTGAGTCTGTAATCCCTGTCCATGTAGGCTCACCAATAACATGTTTTGTTTCTAGAAACTTCCCTTTCAAACTTGGTGGTGATAAGACCTTCCATGCATATCACAGCCGAATTTATTACTGATGAAGTAACAAAAACACATTCTATCTTGACCCAAAATGGTCACATCAAATGTACCTGAAACACGTCAGATCTGAGGCAGGTATAGTTACCATGTTCGTAAATGGTAAATGAACTGTACTTACATAGCACATTTTTTATCTAATCAAGATAATCAAAGCTCTTTACAACACAGTCTGTGCCCTCATTTACCACCACACACATTCATACATCACTCTACTACACACACAAACATTCATACATCACTCTACTACACACACACACATCCATACATCACTCTACTACACACACAAACATTCATACATCCCTCTACTACACACACACACATCCATACATCACTCTACTACACACACACACATCCATACATCACTCTACTACACACACACACATTCATACATCACTCTACTACACACACAAACATTCATACATCACTCTACTACACACACACACATTCATACATCACTCTACTACACACACAAACATTCATACATCCCTCTACTACACACA